CAAAATGATTTTGCCACATTCTTTGCACACAAAATGTTTTCCTCCAATGTAGCTTCTTTTATGCAAGTCAAAAGTGGAGTGGTTGGTGCAGGCTTTCTCACATTCATTGCACTTGAAAGGCTCCCCCCTTGCATGAGTCCACTGGTGCCATACAGAACGTGAGCTGCAGTGAAAGGACCTCCCACACTCCATCCACTTACTGGGCTTCTCCCCAGTATGGATGTGACAGTGCTGAAGATGTGTATACTTACTAAAGGTTTTCCAAACTCTACACATTTGCAGGGTTTTACTCCACTGAGAATCCACTCATGTCACACAAGGAGGCAGTTATTGTTAAATACTTTCCCACATTCCTTTCATTTAGCAAGACTTTTCCTTCATAAATCAAGGGATCTGTAACTGTTCCACAAGAGTCACTATCATAGCATCGTCTGGAGAGATGTACTCCTGGATAATCCTTGCAAAACCATCAGCAGTTGCCCCTAAACCATCGTGTTCCAGGCTCATTTTCCCAGAGAGCCACTTCTTCCGAAGTTTGCTCCTGGTCTCAAGTGTTCCTCCTGAATGGAAGGGGGCCCATCCTGCTAGCAACGGGGAGTCTCATGAGCCTCTCTCTAATAGCTGTTCTTGGGGTGAGACTTTTCTCAAGCAGGTGGGAAGTGTTGGACTCCATGACCAGGTTTTCTGCCAGCACCAGGAAAGAAGTTTTGGGAGAGGTCTTTTATCTCCATCCATACCTCCTGGTTGTGTTCTATCTGGTGCATCAGCTTTGATGTGGACAAAGGACAGCCCAGGGTCTTTGGCATCAGCTCCTGGTACAAGGTCCTCTGAGCCACACCCTGATGTCCCCACTCCTCTTGGGTGAATGTCAAGGCTACATCCTTGAAAGTCACAAAACCCCGAGAGGAGCTTCGTTGGAAGCAAAAGGTTTATTTCAGCTCACAGTTTGAGGTTACAGGACCAGGTGGCCCCACAGTGTGGAATCTGGTGGAGGCTGGCTAGTGTGGGTGTGAAGAAAAGGCCATATCAGGAGGTAAGAAGCAGAGAGCAATGGCCGGAGTTAAAGCACTCATTAAATATGAGCTATAAGTGCTCAATAAAATTATCTGGTTAATGTCATTATGGAAAATGACATCTGGTTCTAACATACCTTTATTATTTTACAAGAATAATAAAACTATACAAATTCCAACACTACAGAAATATATAATGTTTAAACTTGCCAACAGTAGAGAAAACTACGAATACTATTTAGTATTATATCTAAAATTTTTAGTACTACCATAACACATTATTTTTATGTATTTTTTCAAAGATTGATTTCCATTCTACACAATGTCATCCTTTTTATTTAGCAGATTATCTTGAAACTTTTTCAAGGACAGAAGACACAATCAGTTTTATATTCTTTTTAATAAGGCTACTTGCTTTATAGCATTCATGTGCTGCATAGAATCTAATGGGGTAACAGGAAAAGTAGGTAGAACTTCAGGTCCACCAGTGCCTGTGTAATATTTGAGTAAATTGGAAGAATGTGCTGCCCAAAGGTAGTTTCAGTCCCTCTGGTGCATGCCTTCACCATCAAACACTGAGCAGAATTCCAGACACCACCTTTGCTACCTGCTGGATCCTTGCAGCAGAGACTAAAACACATACCACTTGCAAAGCCTTATGAAGATACCAAAGAGGTATTTGAAGTCTTCTGTGACACTTAGATGGAGCAGGAGCTGTCAGCCACAGACTTTAGTTTCTTTATAGCATGGGTCATGGTTGAAGCTTTGGATGGTTGAGAATGGATGTGGAGTGGATGAAGGCTTCGAGGAAAATATTATATCAAAGAAAAGGTATTAAATGATAACCTCAAATCGTCCTCTGAAAATGGGACAGGAGACAGAGAGAGGAGGGAGGGAGGGACAGAGGGAAAGAAGGGGGCAGAGGGAGAGGGAGCAACAGAGTTGGAGGGGAGAGTGAGCAAGCAAGCATGCACCGGTATATAAATGATAAAATTAGCCCTGTTAAAACGTATGATGATGGCAAGCTGGTTTATCAGTTTTTCAGACTCTGCATATGGATGTATACGTATGTGAATATATCAAAGGTTCCCTTACAATATGAAACACTGCTCTTTGACTTCTCTTTTCTAAATTTGGGAACTGAATTAATGCAGAAAAATGGATGAATTCCTTGCTATCCTGAACTGTCACTGTTACTACCAGAAACTTGGGAACAAATAAGATTCCCATAACATTCTCCGTCTCCAAGCTGGCTTTGTGAATGGAGAAAAAAAGATTCAAATTAGATGGGACAGTTACAAATTCATCTTAGTTTTAACTTAAAATATGAAGCAGCAAGTGAAATTTCCCCAAGCCCCTTGCTCATTTAGCAATTTTGCTCTAGTGGCTAGTAATTCTGAGCTATGTTATGTATTTTTATTGGTTTTATAAAAACAACAGTTCAAGTGTTTTCCTTTTATTTTCTGTAAAGGTTTGGACTTTTCTCATAAATATCTTCTTTGATTACTTTAATATTTAAGCTTCACCTATTTCCTCTTTGCAAAACTGCCACAGGATAAGTTTTTTCTAAATCTACTTTGTCAGATATCTAATGGTAACTAAATGTATCTTGTTACTATCAATACAATTGTACCAATTGTTGCTATTATAATGAAGAAATCAAACTGCAAATGTCTTCTCATTTCTAGTACTTCCTTTTGAAATATTATTATAAAGTGAAAGCTGCTTTCCCCCATTCAATTTTTAAAAGTAAGTGTTTACTAAAGATTATTATTAGAAAATCAAGATAATATTTTAGGGACTTTTACTCCCTAAATAGATATTCTGTTCAAGCCATATGGATATTATTTATAATCAATAATAAAATGGTATTATATTTAAGTCAATAATGAACAAGATTACCTTTCCTGTTATTTACATAAATTATTTAAAGCCAAACTATGTAGCGAAATGTCAATGATTTGGAATTTTTTTATCTATATACAAACAATTATAAAGGTACTGTACTGGAGTGCATGGTTGGAGCAGTTTGGCCACCACTTGGAACTCCCCCTTGCCCCACGGCTCCTATGAGAGTGACTGGTTCAAGTCCAAGCTTTCCAGACTCCAAATTCTTGCTAAGGTGCCTCTGGAAGTGTTCTTGGCTTCCTGCCACCCACATAGGAAACTTGGATTGAGTTCCAGGTTCTTGGTTTCAGCCTAACCCAATCCTACCTGTTGCAGGCATTTGGGGAATGAACCAGTAGATAAAATTTCTCTCTTTCTCTCTGCTTTTCAAATATAATGGAAAAAGAAAAAGTATCATACTGCCTATAAGAGACTACAGCGTTGCTAAAACTATGATCAAGAAAATAGTAAAAAATCATCACTTTTGTTTTCAAAAGCTGTTATCTCATTTAAGTATAAGTGAACTAGCTATTCTGTTGCTATTTAAGGAGCAACTTTTCACAGCCTATCTGTAACTCATGGGACATTTTTATTTCAGCATAAATGATTTCGCTAAGTGATCTCACTACATTTTTGTTTATGGCAGAAATTCTATCACATATTAAATAATACTTTTATGCTAGTAATCATCAAAACTTTTGTTTGTTTATCCTTAACAGTAAAATTATTTGATACATACTCAAAATGTTTATATCTTAAAATACAAGAAAACCAAAATTAAAACAATAACAATCTAAAATGAATACATATTTGACATTTTCTTCCTGATTATCCCAGGAATGAGTATAACTCACTTTGTAGATATTTTATCCTCTCTCTCAAAAGGATTTAGTCCTTTTTCGTCATTATTAATTTCTCAGAGGTTTTTTTTTCCCTCTATGAAGACTGAGAGTGATCAATATCAAGGGTTTTTTGTTTTGCTTTGTTTTGTTTTTTACTATCCAATTTTCTAAGCTGGATTTGGCCACCAAAATCTTTCTTTTTCTTTTTAAACAAACTGTTGTGTCACCATTTATGCTTCTAATGCTGTAGCTTTTAATTCACACGAAACTTGTTCTTTCTGAAGCTGAAAGCCCATTATTTCTAAAGCTTAAATTGCTAAGAAGCCTGGAACAAACAAAATATCAAAACTTGTTTAACTGACACAGCTTATTTTAAAGAACAAGACATTTTGTATTGAAGAAGATTTTTTTTTTTGGTGGAGGCTTGAAAATGGATATTTGTGTGGAAAATGTGTATGTCAATATTTTGTATTTTTAAAGAGATATCATTACTGGTATTAGTCTACATCCTATTTATTTAAAAGGATATATATTTACAGAATTATTTTATCCTCTGCTAGTAGTACCAATATTACATTGTTAGAATAAAATTCTTGAAAATATTAGCTTTGGAAATGTGACAGGGAGAAGCTCTTTTAGTGCACACTTATAATTTAGTATAAATAAAAAAAAAGTGTGAGTGTGTGTGTGTGGTATAATTCTCTAAGTTCATATGTGTCCCAAAACAATATCAAAAGAAGACATTTTGAAGAGAAAGTAAGTTGTATAATCTTAGATTATTTGAAATATCTTTTTAGAGTAGTGAATGGTAGCAAAAAGAAGTGGATTTGATGATGCCATGAAACATGGGCCCAATGCATCTAGAAAACAAGACTTGAGGAGAAATATATACAGCTACATCTTCAAGGAGTAAATTTCATTTTCAGCATTTTCTCAGTTTAACAGACACTTGACATGTTTTCCAGTCATTGAGCTTCTTCAAAGGACTGGCCTTCTGATTGTACCCTTTCTAATTCTCCATCTCACTAGCTCACATGCCATGAACTCTTGCTAATTTTCTTTGGTCTCCTAGTGACAGATCTGAATAACCAGAAAGCAGAAAACAAGACTCTTGTAACTAGTTTCCACAGGCCTCGTCAGGTGGCATATACAGAATGTAATGCTTTTGGTGACAGTTGTAATAGAAGTGATGTGAAACACAGGGGATAGAATGTTAGCGATAGTGCACCTCAAAAGAGGAGAAAGTGTGGTGTGTTACCTCCTGATTAGCAGCAGCTAGTTCTTCTTCCAGGGCAGAGACTCTTTCTAAAGAAACCCTCAGTCGCTCCCTTACCTAGAAGAAAAATCAAAATATGTACAGTCATGTACATCCCACAGAGAGTAAACTGTGCTGAACCTGTCATTAACATCATCAGAGACAGTCAATTTGGCAAAATACTAAAATATGGATCGCCATTAGTGTTCAGAATATTAAGCCTGGCAGGTAAACTATAAATATATTATCACCTCATTGTATCAAGGAGTTTCCTTGCAAGCAAATCCTTTTGGTGGTTCACTGATAGAACTTCTGATGAGGTTGAAGATTTACCCATCTTGCTCTGAATGCTGATCCACAGTAAGCAGAGACAAAGTTCAAAATTATATTATGATATAATCTGAAAAATTGTCACTTATGAAGCATAAAAGTAGGCGAAAATATCCACTTTCCTCCCTACTTATTTAAAATAATATGTACATTTTATTTGGCATTTTTATCTATTTAAAAATTATTTGTCTAAAAGTAAAATACTCTTTAAAAATTCCATTGTTCTTATGTTATGTATTAATTAGAGGTTACATTGCTTTTAAGGGATTGGACAGGCATCTATTAATTTGGAATTCCCAAGTAGCTCCCTGATACCAAAAGGTAAATCATTATATTTTTTAGAACTAAGAGTGCCCTACACGTTGGTTTGAAAGTAATGATGATTTATGAGTGTTTCATACTTAAGTGAAACACAAAGAAGCGTTTCTTTGATTCTTGATTTCTCAGAACTTCAAAACTTTTTTAGTTATTATATGCATGGATTTTCAAATTACTTTGCATCAAAATAAACTTATTTTTAATTCCATTTCCATGAACTTTTTGAAGTGCCCTTGTATATTTAGATTTATACATATATGCCATATGACATATACATTTATCAAAGGTAAGTATGATATTTTACAGAAATATTTCACTGAATTAAAATGAATGATTATAGCAGTTTAGTCTTTTTAAAGAATCACTAAACTTTATATCTTTAAATTTAGGTTAAATATATGATGAGCTTTTGATTTATGAATTAACAGATTTAATATGAAATGTTGACATATTTGTGCCATGAATGTAATTACTTAATATATGATTATATTCCTATAAACTTTAATTTTATTACTTCATTGGCAGTTTATTTTTATTAATAGTAGTTTTGTCTTTAACAAGATTTAATTGGAAATACAGGTTAAATACATAAAATATATAAAGACCAAGATACATAAAAATTTTGAAGGTGGAACTATAGCACTAGTTCCTGTTTAGCACACACACAGACAAAAAGCCAGCAATAGCCTAATAACCTAGCATTTAACTTGAAATTTTTCTAAATTTCAACTTTAGTTTAGTACTAAATCATGATAACATGTATACTCAGGTGACTTGACACACTTAAATTCTGAAATAAATCTTGAATAAGCAAGAAAAAGATTTGAATAGAATTTTTAACATTAATTATATTATGTTATGCTCAAGTTCTCTGAAGAGTAAAATATAGACATAAACAGATATTTGCTGTCAAACAAGTCACAGGATCTTTTATATTATGTAGTTGTACCAGATTAACTGCGAAGTACCAGTGCTGTTATGTAATTATCCAGTTGTTATATAAATACGCATAGAATTAATGGTGGTTAATGCCAAACAACAGCTACTTAGAAAAAATCTTTAATGATTTGATGTGGTGAATGATTTTTTATGAATGGAATGGAATAGACAGAGACAAAAGAAGAAGCCAGGAAAATGGATAGAATAGCTGATATATGGAATGCAGTTATCAACAAAGGTGCTCAAAGACATGTTGATTTTTCATAAGGATGACTGTAAAGTTTTATTATTATTTTCTAAAAAAAAAGCCTGTAAAATCTGGGTATTCTAAAAATGGTCTATTAACCCAGGTTGATGAGAACAGCGTTATAAAGTGGCCTCAATATAAATTAATGATTTCACTACACACAAATTTGATCAGATCACACGTAAATTGTTTTGAAGAGGTTCAACTATTGTATTGTACAACATACTGATGCATTGGAAATTCTGTAAAGGAGCCATTCAAGTGACATAAAGAATGGCTGAATCCAGGCCACAATGTAGGTTAAGATATCTTACTGACATTCTTTTGCTAAAGTGAAAAATCTTAGAAACTGTTTCCAGCTGCCTTCAATTTACAAGTTAGGATTGTGTTCCCTCCTTATATTGACTCACAAGGAAATAAAAATTATTAGGTTTACAAAATAGTATGAAAATGGAATAATTATTCCTCAATAAATTTAGAAGTATTTCACAAATTGAAATTGTATTACCCCCAAATAATGAATCAATGCTGTCTTTACAAGAAAATTAAAACAATTTCTGAATGTGCTTTTAACTCATGTTATAAATATCAAAAAATTGATGCTACAAATAGCAATACATTTTGGCATTAATGCTTTACTCATACTTACATGAGGATAAATTATTATCTGTATTTTAAATTTTAAGGTAAAACAGCTACATGTAACATGTTAGCTTAATCTTACTTATCTTTTTGCTAGACTTAGTAAGGAGAAAGTGTGTGTGTGTGTGGGGGGGGTGCTGTAGATCCAGAGGAATAACCTTTCCACAATATAAAGAATTCTAACATTTTATCTTATCTACTTAGCTCAAACTGCATTAATAGGGAAAAAAATCTCTCTGATGAGCCTTTTGGCTTTTTGATGTGCTTTGAGCATTTCATCAGCAGAATTCCATATTTATGTTTATTTTTCTTGTAGGGTTTTATGTTCTTGTGAAGCTATCTAGATATTGATATACCACAAAAATATAGTGTCAAATTTGAATACACATAAGTACACAGTTGATAGCCTTTTCTCGATACTTATTTTTTCTTATTTTCTAATGATTAAATCACATTCAATTAATTTTTTAATGAAATCTTTATATATAAGATATATTGATTTCTTTAAAGCTAGCTGTAATCTAACTTTGAAGCACATTTATATACATCTAGAATTTTTATTTCTAGTTATATCTATTTTCTTCATAGGCATGAAAAATACCTAAAGAAAAAAAATTTCCCAAAAGATTACTTCAAGGCCATAGGATTTTTATCCCCAAGGATTAAAATAAAACAAGTTCCTAAAATGACAAGTGTGACACAGGATGAAAAGATACTTTGATGGAAGAAGCACACATTACAAATTGAAATTAAGTTATGGCAGGGTTTCATTTCGGTGATTATCAATCATCTAAGAGAAAACACTTTTGAAGAAATACCCTTAGATCAGAAGTTCAAAGTCAATTTTGACACTGTGATATTTGATGATAGAAATATATGTGGAAGGCATATATATTTAATATGTTTGGTTTGCATTTTTCATGCATGTCCAATGTATCTTATTTTTAAGTCGATGATTTCTAAATAGTTGCAAAACATGTGGATAGTTCTCATTTCCTAAAGCTCACAGAATAGGGAAACACTGTAAGGTGATGCCAAAACTACTGTTGACCTTATCTGACTGAAAATTCTACCCTAGTTGTCCTCAACTACATTCAATTTCTTATAATTTATTTAGTTTTTCATTCTAAATCTTGTATGGCAGTAGTTTCTTGTTTCCAAGTCACAATTACTGGCATCTTCTTCTGACTTTCTTGTATATATTCTAACGTCATAACCCTAACAAATTATTTCTCACTTATAAGTCTGTATCCTCACCCTTCCCCACTCCCACAGAAGATGTGAGCTGTACTTAGTCCATCAACAACTGGATAAATTCTGTTTAAAATGAGCATTAGGCTCATTAGTGATACCAATGCCTTTACTTAGTTGGCAAGTTTTCTCAAATGATGAAATTTACTCATCCAAAATCATGCATTCTTTATTGCCTTCATTTAAGACATTCAAAACTGTTTTCTATGAAGAGGCAATGGTCTTAAGGTTCTGAGTTAATTTAGTTCTTTTTATTCGTATTTGAAATCTGTTTAAAATGCACTTAGTCATTCTTTAATAACTAGATCAAATGCCTCTCCCTTTTGAAGACATTCTTGGCTTTCTTGTGACTGAAGCAGAATTATTCAGCACTCTGTGACTCCCTGTTGTATTTTACACATCTCTTCTTAGCATTGCCTGTTATTGATATCTGAATCCCCAACACTAATTATGAAATACTCAGTTAAAAGAATGTCTTATTTATCTTTGTGTGTAAAATATCTGCCAAGGAGTCTGATACATGGTAAATATTCTATAAATACAAAGTATTGCAAATTCTTAACAGTTCAATTTTATGATAAAAGAGGGAGTAAACATTACATATATAAAATTATTATTTGACGCCACATTAGGTAAGGTATTTATCTAATATCCATTTCTGTTTTATTCAAAATTATTCTTAAAATAGTTGCCTTTTATGGCTAAAATGAAAAATATACAGTTTCTTTTTAATAAACTAAAAGAATTCTAGTTATCCTTATGCACATATTCCACATAATCCCAGCAGTGAGAACATATTAAAGACTGATGATAAAATATACATATATAAATATTAAATAGAATAAAATGTCTGTATTCTCAAAACCTAGATATAACTAGGAAATAATCCCTAGTTTTGATATTAATGCTGAGAAGTTGTCAGATACTTTACAATGAAGTGTTCCAATTCCCACTCTACTAAATCCTAAAGCTTTATTAATTTCTAACGTTCATTATCTGAAATTCCATACAATTGAAATCATCTCAGAAGCTTTTCTAACCACCAAAGGATCTTAGCATCACATTGGCTTATATATGCCAGTAGAATTTACTTGAGTAGCAGCTAAGAGAAGCTTACAGCTACTTTTAAAAAAGGCCTAAAATATGTTCTTCTACTAATACTTTTTGCTATTACACACAGAGATTCCTAAAATGTGCATTTGAAAGTAAGATATTGGATACATAAAAAAATCATATACTTCCAACATAAATGTCTAAAAGTTAAAGTATACCAAATATGAACTTCCAAAGAGGTAGCATTTCAGTTAGTGGTCTCTTATTTTGACATCTATAGTCATGCACTTCTCAGGATCAATGAGGAGAGAAGAAGGAGAGCAATACAGAGAAAGGGAGACTGAATGAAAGATATTAACCAATACTAAATTTTACATGGCCATCTGGAAAAGGGCCATATGTTTCATAATAAAAGTCTAATTCTAATAAGCCACAGATGCAGTGGGATAAAAAAGAAACATGGCAATAAATATTACCAATATAAGCCATTTTCATTTTAACTATAAAGCACTTTCATTTTAAAACTGATTATTGATATACCTCCAATGTGATCCTGCAAACTGACTGACCTCAGGAGTCCAGTGAATCAGTGGGTGAAGAGAAGAGGCTTAGTACTGATAACAAAAGTATAACGAGGCTTGCATTCTTTTTTCTGTACTGTACCTTTTCATCCAAGGCCTTGTGATGCTCAAACAAAGATTTCAGCGCCTTAAGAACCTCAACTTCACTGGATACCCCAGAGGGAGACTGGGCTTGCCGTTTAACCACCGTCATTCTTAGTGACCTTTCATGTCGTGACACAAGGCACTCCAAATGCTCCAGTAGCAGCTATGGGGGTTAACAGAAAATGTGATTATTTCATGGAGTTTGGTTACCAATACTTAAAGATGAATTCTGCATCAAATACTACAGACTTGCACAGTATCATGATATCCTCAGGTTAAACTACACGTGGCAGCAAAAGAGGGCAAACCAGTCTGAACCAGAGTTTATAAAATCCACTGAAGATAAATTGCATTTCAATCATCTAAAATGATACTGAATTTAAAAACGCAATGCAAATTTTATGCATTCCATTAGCAAATTTAATAATTTTGGTACAGATTTGATAGAAATAGAACACTTGACAAAAATGTATGATCTAATATGATAAGTATTAAAGAGCATTTCATTATACATGATGATTTTTAAAGAGAATATAAATACATTAAAAGTCACAATTTATTTCATTTACATGGGCTGTTTAAAAATTTTTGGATTGAAAGAAATGTGCATATCGTTATGTTGCTTTAACTTAGATTGATAATCACAAGATTTTATTCATAATCTTTAGATTGCATTATAAAAATATGAAACCAAGTGGAATAGAGCAAATGAGATGCCCAATAGTCATTTTGGGGAAAACATATGTGGGAAGTAATTTTTAAACTATCCATGTTGGACTCTGCAGGCCCCTTAGTGCTCTCTGGGTCTCTCACAGAGAAGGAAAACTCCAGTGAAGTTTCCGGGCTATACTAGTCAGCACACTTTAACTTTTGCCAAATAATTCCTGTTTAGAAATGTGTTGTGAACTGGGGTTTCACATTTACTTTCATTTTAAAGGTAGCTCTGCTATGAAAATGAAAGCAAAACATGCATTGTGGTTATTAATAATCACTGCAATGTTATCAGGGAAAAACTGACACAATTGGAAGGTATTACAGGATATATCTTCAGAAGAATAGTGAATATCATACTAAGCATTGTTTTGGAAAACAAAGGGATAAAGCAGTGGTTACCCCAACAAAGGGAGGAAGCTCATACAAGATACTGGAGGTGAAAGAAATAAAGAAAACAATATTGTTTTTCCAGATTTTTTCTAAGATTAAATTTTAATGTACAACTTTGCTTTTCCCAATGTCACTTATCAGTAACAAGTGAAAATTCAGTGTTCCTTATTAGTGTCATATTTTCATATTTCTAGGGCTGACTCTTAATTGATTTGAAAGGTAGAGAGAGAGAGAGAGAAAGAGAGAGAGAGAGAGATTATCTTTCATTCACTGTTTCTATTCCAATCATACAGGGCTGGGCCAGGCCAAAGCCCAGAGCCAGGAACTCCGGCATGGGTGGCAGGAAGGCAAGTTCTTGATTGTCATCTGATGCTTTCCCAGGCACATGAGCAGAGAGCTGGGTCAGAAGCAGCAAAGCCAGGACTCAACTCGCTGCTCAAATATGAGATGCCAGTGTGGCAAGCAATGGCTTAACCCAATGTGCCACAATGCTGGCCCATAAACTTATCTTTTAATTCCATTTTCCATGAACTTTCTAAGTGCCTTTATATTTAAGGGTCTACTAATTGTTTTTATTTTTTTAAAGATTTATTTTTTATTTATTTGAAAGATGGAGTTACAGAGAGAGGTAGAGTCAGAGAGTGAGAGAGAGAGAAAGGTTTTCCATTCTGCTGATTCACTCCCCAAAAGACTGCAATGGTCAGAGCTGAGCTGATCTGAAGCCAGGATTCAGGAGCTTCTTCCAGGTCTCCCACATGGGCACAGGGGCCCAAGGACTTGGGCCATCCTCCACTACTTTCCCAGGCCACAGTAGAGAGCCTGATGGAAAAAGGAGCAACTGAGACTTGAACTGGCGCCCATATGGGATTCTGGCACTGCAGGCTGGGGCTTTAATCCACTGTGCCATGGTGCCTACCCCTTACCCCTCTATTAATTATTTTTAAATATTTATTTATTTAACTGAGAGGCAGAGTTACACACACAGAGAGGGAAAGATAGAGAAGTCTTCCATCTGCTAGTTCACTCCTCATGTGGCTGCAAGGCTAGTTTTGGGCTGATCCAAAGCCAGGAGCTAGGAGCTTATTCTGAGTTTCCCATATGGGTATAGGGGCCCAAGCATCTTCCACTGCCTTCCCAGTCCTTAAGCAGAGAGCTGGATGAGAAGAGGAGCAGCCAGGATGCGAACCGGTGCCCATATGGGATATCAGCACCACAGGCAGATGCTTAAGCTGCTATGCCACAGTGCCGGCCCCAAGGGTCAATTAAGATTTATAACTTTTCAGTTTGAATATGGTAAAATGTTTCAGGGAGGTTTCTCTTATTTCTCAATCTCTCGTTGTATTTATTGTATTCTTCTCCCATGAATTTTACATATACAAAGAGCCTTCAAAATACCTATGAAAATGAGTAACACGAAAAACTCTGAATTAACTTAAAAAAATTTTGGCACCAGGACCAGCATTGTGGCACCAAGGGCTAAGCTGCCCCTTGTGATGCCAGCATCCCGCACTGGAGTGTCAGTTCAAGTCCTAGCTGCTCTGCTTCCAATCTAGATTCCTGCTAATGTCTCTGGGAGAGAGGCAGGAGAGAAGCCCAAGTACATGAGGAGACCAGGATGAGTTCTTGGCATGCACCTGGCTGTTATTGCCACTTGCAGGAGTGAACCAGCAAATGGAGGCATTCTCTGTCTCTTCTCTCTCCCTCTGACTCTCTCTCTCTAACCCTCCCTCTTTCCCTTCCTACTCCCCTCCTTGCATCCCTCTCTCTCTGCTACTCTGCCTTTCAAATAAATAATTTATTTAAAAAAAAAAAAACCTCTAACACCACCATAAGTTAATCTTTTCACTGCATTTCCTACAAAGTTTCTGAATTCCCTTTGTGGATGTGTACACTGCTGTTCCTGTTTTTCACTCCTTATGGGAACTGGCATGAACTTAACCCTCCTATTCCTCCTGCATCATCGGGATGCTGGAACCTGTTAAGGACATCTCTTAGTGGGGACTGCCTAAATCTTCTGATCACAGGTTTTACATTTGGCAAGTTTCTCACATCTTGAATTCTACTTTTCCAACACAGGGTACAAACCCCCAACTATGCATAGTCCTTTCTGTCAATCTTTTCCTTTCAAATCGTGTTCTAATCACAACAGCTTACATTGTAATGTTCCTTATTCTGCCAGGCCTTCGCGTATGCTGAGCCCTCTGCCTGGAGTACTCCTACCTTAGCTCCTTATTTTCCTGACTCTGTGATTCCTTATCTCAGCTCAAGTATCATCTTTCAGAGTCTTCCCTCACTACTCTATGTATAGTAGGATTATATCTCTCTTCTTTCCTGTCTTCATAATCCTCCATTTCAGTTCCTTGCTTCTCCTCCTCATACTGTAGCATGATGCACACTTTGTAAAACTAGTGTCAATAAATTTCAAATTTCATTCAGTTCCCTCATTGGAACAGACGTTCCACAATGGTAAACAGTGTGTCCCTTGATCCTACTGATCCTCTCTGTATTCAGGTGTCAGCTCAGGTCCTGACAGCTATGGCATGCACAACATACCTGCTGAGTGGATTTTAAAAATAAATGAATGAGCTAAATTTTCCCATGTGCACTCTGTTCTATATTAAAGTTAAACCTGTGGCTGCAGTTAATGGCATTATTTCCTAAAACCCTAAGGTAAACAATATTTTTATATACATGTATGTTTCAGCTAGATGACACACTTATAAAGAAATAATCTTTATGATATAGTGAAAACTGATGCCCCCAATTTTAAGTCATAGGTGTGCTGGTTTATACAATTCAGTTAATATCTGAGCATCTAATGTTGCATGGCATGGTAAACATACAGAAATGTATATGATATGGTACTGATCCTTTAAGGACAGGAACATAATATATGTTATAATACAACTATAAAGGACATCTGCTATTAGAGATGACCTAAACCTTACAATTACATTCTTTACTCTTGGTAATTTTCCTCACATTATGAATTCCACATTTCCACGAGGGAGTACAAAAATCTATAAATCTCAGTAATCTGCATCATGTAGCTCCTAGTTATTACACACTTCTGTGAAAAATGAGTCTTATGAGGAGTTAAGTTGGGTGAAGGTTTCCACTTTCTCAACAGGAGTGGCAAAAATCATTATTTAATACTGAAAAAATGGGGGAAATAATCTAACCATCATTGCAACAAAGATCTGGAATTTGGTCCTGAAAATTCAGACTGCAGACTCTTTTCCTAAGAATTTCTTACCATTCATTAAAAATGATGACTTGTTTAAACTAGCTAGAGTGAATTCTACTGTCTGCAACTAACAATGCTTTGCCACTCAAGTCATCAGTTTCCACCTACTGCTACCTTTCCTTATAATAGTTGCCATGGCCTGGATCACTTCCCATTATTCCTTAAATACGTCAGCTCTCTGATCATTGCAGTTTTTCTAACACTACTCCATACTTCCTGGGGAGTTTTATTATTTAAGATGATTCCTTAAATCTATTGGCCGCTATATTTCATGCACTCCAATGGTCTCAATTTCAACCCTATTTTACTAACTCACATCGAGGGTTTCTTGATTTACATGACTATTTTCAAAAGGACAGTTCTGTAATTCTGGGCTCTATCATCTAATACACAGATAATTACAATTTAACTTGTTTATTTAAGTTTCAAGCTCTATAAATGCTTTCAATCTCAATTCCATTGTAACAGAAATTTAGGCCACTTCTTGTCACACTCAAGTCTTAACTGTCTCCTTATCCAGCTTAAAAACTTGCAGTTCAGTGTTTTGTGAAAGATATAAGCCTAAATGTAATTGTTTTAATTTCACTTTTTCTTATTTTATTTTTAAATACTTATTTATTTATTTGAGAGTCAGAATTAGAGAAAGGGAGAAAGAGAGAACAATCTCCCATCTGCTAGGTCACTCCCCAAATGGCTACAAGAGCTGGGATTAGGTTAGGCAGAAGCCAGTAGCTTTGAGCTTCATTTGGGTGTCCCAAGTGGGTGGCAGAGGCCTAGGTACTTGGACCACCACCTGCTGTTCTCCCAGGTGC